CTGGATTCCATAGTATGCATGCACAATTATCTAGTTTGCACGGCTAACTAAAAGATTGATTGAAGCACTTAAACCAGGAACAAGAAATCATATAGAAGCATTACCAAAACATTCATATATAGAGAGTAGGGATTAGACCCTAGAAAGAGTTTAGCCACTCATATCCTTGACTACAATGGATATAGAAATGATCCACATAGTCAAGGACCTAATTACAACACAAAAATACAGAAAAGAAATGAAAACAGAGTATGGAGATAGTCGGCTAAAGCTGCTGCTGGCTGGCTACTTGCGCAAGTGAGAAACTCACTTCCATGAGTAGCCACCCGTTGCTGCTGCCTTCTGCTCCTCTTCTTTTCTCTCCACTGTCTATCTATCGGACTCTCTCTCACTCTCAATCTAGTCTTCCGTGATCCCCAGATGGAAGATGGATTGATTTGCCGATGCTCTTCTTCCTTTTAGAGATGGGGGCGGAGGCTTGGCTTACTTAGTGAGGTTGATCTCCTCTTTGTCCATTGGATTAAGACCAAGGTTGAGGAGACTCATACCTCTTTAAATTGCAGCCATCAACTCCCTCTTTTGCAGCCCCAAATCAGCCTTTTCAGCCCTCCATCACTTTACCCATGTCTTCTTTGTCTTCCTTAGCCTTGAAGGCTTTCTTCTCCTTATTCCTTAGCATTGAAGGAAAGCTTCAACTGAAGCTTCCTTGGGCTTTCCCTCTCATCCAAGTGCTGCCATTATTGCTGCTTTCTTCTTCTCTAGATCTGCAACATAGGTTCATGGGCCATTTTCAATTGTGCCCAAAACTTTGCTAATTTACACCAATTTGCCCACTTTTTATCTATAATTGCAATTAGGTTCCTTCACCACCAAAAGTCATATGACATAATTAGAAACATCTAATTCCATCTAAATACAATAAATTATATGTAAGCAAGAGGCAAGTTAAGTATACTTTTAGATGTATAATTTGACTCGCATCAAAAACTCCTTCCATCTAAATTCAATTCAACTTGCCAGCCACATCACCTTATTCCTCTCCAAGTTTCACTTATAATCAAATTTCACCACAAGCTAGTCAAGGATGGAATAGGAGAAATGGAAGACTTGAGAAGGAAAACTGGAGAAAAAAAGGCCAAGAGAAGGAGATAAAATCAAGGAAAAAAAGATACTCATGATAAATTCAATGAACTCCAAAAGCCAAGGCATGTGAGTAACCTCTCTCATGCTCTATACAGTAATCCCATCTCTCCCTCTCAAAGCATAATTGTGGAGTGTTGCTTGTGTACTTGTGCTTTTGTGTTCTTTGAACAAATTCAAGGTTCATGCTAATATTTGAACTTGTTGTTTATGACAACGTGATGACTTTATTTTTATATGTGACAATTGAACTGAATTGAATTCCTTGTTCTATCTAATCGGTGATGTACTTTATCAAGCTGGGATTTATTACTGTCAGAATTTGTCTTTTAAGGAAAATACGTGCGCATGAATTGTCATGATATTTTAAGATTTGAATGTGTTCACTACTACACCAGTCTAGGGGCGTCACTATCATCGTCCAAATCCAACGGAATCTATGGATAGACTATGGATAGTTTAAGTAGGCGTGCACGAGCTACGCGTACTTGATTCCTGTGGCCACTGGAAGTGAAGGATGATGTTTTACTGGACCTGAAAAATCTAACCGTGAACACCATTTTGGATCTAATTTTGTGGACGACCTATAAAACTATATGGGTCTTCAACAGTTCATAGTTAATATCAACTCGTATTCTTGCATGAATATGCTGATGGACTTGTTATGGTCATCCTTTATGTGACAATAGGTGACTGATTGTATGTTCTACAAATATATTTACTGCGAGTATCAGTTTCTTTATTTCTTTATTATATTGGAATGATATAACTATTTAGACTGTGTTAATAATAAACAAACAAAATATAAAAAGAATTATGTGAATAACTGCATATGCATGTTCCTTGATTACCGCATGGAGCCGTGAGAGATTGGGAGATTGTCGATAGAAGGATTCACTTGGCTATTAGCTCATCCCGTTACTTTTCGATCATTGGTTAGCAAGTGAGCCGAGTTAACATGAACCTTGGGTATGAAGATAGCTAGTGGACATTTCTTTAGTCTAACGGGACTTCGTATTTAGATAACAATGGATTTTGGAGATATCTTTCATTGTATTTATATTTTCTCTCTTGTGTATACTAGAGTTTAAAATGTAATAGGTTTGATTATTTATGTTTCATGATGCCTGGAGAGAGAAATTTCTCGGCAAAGGGCTCAATTAGTCTTCAAGCATGATATTTAATTGATCTGGTGACTTTGGTCGTCACAGGTGGTATTAGCGCCAAGGGATATAAACTTAGGACAGGATGTTAAGAGATTTGGAAAAATTAGTTGTAAAAGGTGTAATATAATAAAACATGACATACATATGGCAGAGGTAAATCTTAGTGATATGATATGTGATTTTCTTAGTTTTGGTTAGAGTTAGTGAATCACTCGAACCTTACCTAAAATGGTTTAGATACCTGAGATATAAGAAATGTTGGATGGGTTGAGGTACTTTTGAAATAAAGCTAAGCTTTGCATTTAAATGTGTTCTACTAATAAGAGTAATAAATTAGAAGATTTCATCATATAAGTTACACATGCGATTATTTGGAATCAACCTTCGAATTACCATGAAATATTCTTGGAACCAGCTATCCCAAATTGAGTTCAGGCTAATTCTCTCGATCGGTTCAAAAGAAAACACTTATAAAATCCTCTGAATTTAACCCACTCAAATATCTTAATAATTTTATTTGCTAAAGAAAATATTAGGATTTAAATAACCATTCGAAGGGGTCGTGCTTTTCTAATCTAATACTTGTTGAATAAATAGGACGGCAACGTGATATCTTGACATGGTAACATTTAACTTCCAGATAAATAAAGATATAATAGGAAGTTTGAGGAAAGAACCTATACCTGAAAATTGGTAAGTAATTTTAAAATATAAAAAATAAGTCGTTGCAAGCATCTCAGAGGTAATTAATCATTCCTTGTAAATAGTTTTGCATAATCATGCAAGCATTTTTTTCTACAAATTATTAATCTTGGCATGCTTAATTATCGCATTCTGGGGCACACGACCTTCTCAATGCAAGTTAAGGCTATGTTTGGAAGCTTTTTTGGGCCCGTTTTTCCAGAGAATATTTTGGGAGGATTTTTTTGACTATGTCTGTTTTTTGCGGGAAGCCAGAAAAAGGTTTGGCAACAAAGTCAACTTTTTTCCAAATGAGACAACGGTTGGACCCATATCAAAGAACTATTACTCCAAGTTGACGCATTATCATTCCAAACAACTTCCCCTATTTTCACTTCCACAATTTGCCTACATGAAAATTTTACCTTTTGTTTAAGATTAATGAAAAAATTTGTACTTTAAAAAAATAATTCATGGTCATCAACAATGATCATATTAATTAATTAATATATGCCAGAAGATGTATGAAAAAAAAAATTCTCGTAACCGTGTCAATAAAATTGCAAAAACAAAAATGTGTTTTAATGTGTAGTAAATTTGGAACAATGCTTGAATTACAAACCGAATATTACACACCCATTCATAAAAATAAATCATTGAAAAAAATGCTCACACAAGGACGAATAAGGTTACAGCATCTATTACAGAACACATGCAATTATATTATTGTGACAAACAACATTCACTTTCCAAAACCAGCAATCAAAGTACACTTCCTTTCATTGGTCGCGGTTTATAGCAGCATTCCACATTTGACCCGGCAGGTTATCACGAAATTCTCTCCATTGAGCAATCGCTGGAGCTGATGTCTTTTGATAGGGCGGATATTCTTCATCATCAACAGGTATATCCTCATTCTCGTGCTCCATAAAGTACTCATCATCGGGTTGTTCATCCTTAATAAAATTATGAATGGTTGCACAAGCAATAACAATCAAGGGTTGACGCAATATCATATAATTTGGCATAGGACCACGTAAAATTTGGAACCTCCTTTTCAGTACACCAAATGTCCTTTCAATAACATTTCTTAAAGAGGGGTGAAGGTGATTAAAAAATTCCTTCCATGTTTTTGGAGCTCAACCACGACCTCTGTAGTCTGGGAGGTGATATCGTTGACCTCGATAAGGTGCAAGAAACCCTGGCATATTTCTATTTGCGGAGTCAACTACATAAAATTTACCTACATCACAATATTATTACGTTAAATTATAGATAAATTGGGTTTGATATATAGCAAAGGAAAAATGATGTCACAGTGAATAATAACCTTGGGGAGGCATAGGAAAGTTAGAGTCATCTCTATTCACTGTTTCAACAAAGACTCTTGCATCATTAGCACTTCCTTCCCAACCAGCTGAGATAAAAATGAATCTCATATCATGATCACATGCCGCAAAAACATTTTGAGAAATTTGTGCATGCCGGTTTCGAAATGCATCCCTTCTATGTGCAGGAGCCCATGCAGGAACGTGTGTACCATCAAGCGCCCCAACACAATCCTGCCATTCAAAAATAAAACCATATATAAAATAAACCATGTTACATATCAGCATTGCTATTTAAAATTAAACAATAACAAAGTGATGATACCTTAAACCATGGATAATATCTTTCATCATGTAAGATTTTCGCGTGTGTTGAATGTTCATTTCGTGGCCTAATTACATTAGCACCCAAATGATTTATTGCACGCACAACTTCACGTATATGTCGATTGATGGTTTCTGTTGAGTGTTGAAATCTCTCAGCAAGTACCCACTGCCTTGTGTTATGACTTACTAAATATAAAAACATACATACAGATTCCTCGAGGCATACTAGTTGTTGGGGGTTTTCTTTGATATAGCCACCTTCTCACAGAACCTGACAAAATCGCATAAATGTATTAACATCCATTCTACAGTTATCAAATATTCGTTGACGGTGGCCCATTAATATTTCTTGCACCCATTATCGGCCACTAAGGGATGAATTATGACAAGGCATCCGTCCTATTTCTTCCCTATCTCTTTGCTCGATCCACCTGGAAACCATAATCACAATAACTAGCTCGTCGAGCTCATCTTCCTCATCATCAAGTACTTCATAGCTCCCAGGAAATGAATTCGGAAATCTTCCACATCCTACCATGGTGCTACAACCAGAATAATAGAAGTTAGGAAGAAGGGACACAGAATAATATATATATATATATATATATATAAATACACAAATGCGTAAGCAGCACCCAAGAAAGTTGCAGTTTTCAAAGTTGCTAGGTTATACCACTTTTTGTATTTCTGGGATGATTGCAAAATGGAACTTCATTATATAGACTGCTTATGCCATATATTGGGCCCTATGACCACTGGTAGGCGTGATATTGTCCATACAATTCCAATACACTTATCAAAAGGAAGTAACAACTGATGCATAGAAAGATGGCCGAAAAAATCAGAGAAAAATGGTACCTCCCTCTTGTCATAAACTGATACACTATTTCTCTACAGTTGGCACTAGCTTCTCTTGTCAAAAATCTGCAAACATGCAGTCACCTACCAAAGAAGCAATTTATTGGAATCCACTATTGCTCTACAGGCTCTTTTTTGCTTTCACTTTTTCCCAAATCAGATGATTTTCCATCCCATTCACAGAGCCAAAGGCTGCAATTGCACTACTTGGCACATAGCTCTACAGATATATAGACAAATTACCAACTTTTTGCATACACCCCATTACCCCCTACCCAAAAAAAAGAGCAAGTAATTGGAATGCATTGTAGTTCTACAGTCATTCTTTTGCATTGTATTTCCTTCTCATGCTAGGGACAAAGGCAACCATTACTGTACTTCTTTACCATCTTGGCTTTGTTCCTTTTTCTTTGTTTTATCAATTCATTTTGCATTATGTTGCACTACTTCTTTACCATCTTGCCTTTGTTCCTTTTTTTTGTTTTATCAATTCATTTTGCATTACGTTGCATTACTTCTTTACCATCTTGCCTTTGTTCTTTTTTTTGTTTGATCAATTCATTTTGCATTACGTACGAAGACTACTTCTTTACCATCTTGCCTTTGTTCTTTTTTTTTTAAATTCATTCATTCATCAAGTACGTACAAAGAAATTGGTTGGGAATATTGGATGTGAAAAGTTACGGTTGCAAAAACATGACAAAAAGTAGGAATCACACATTGCCATAAACAATACATTTTATCCCGTATGGAAAAAAAAAACATACTAGCAAACTAGACAAGTTTTCTTTAATACACGTCATGAACAAGTTTTCATGTTCAACTTGAAAAATAGAACATCAAAAAGGTCTAATGATCTAGAACTTATATTGTTGTACAATACTTCCTAATATCACAAGTTAAATGTTCAACATTGGAACATAGAACACCCAACTCGCAGTTACTACCAGATTACCACCGTCCTATGGCATACTTCATCTTCGATGTTCTATATTAGAAAATAAAACACCATGCATCCTAGAAATAGTGCCATCAATCCTAATAAGTACCATGAATTTGATGTTCAAGTTGGAAAATAGAACATCAAACTTGCACATTAGCTACTACCATGTAGGTTAACTGGGTACAATAAAAGTAACAATGCCCCAACATAATAATATCACATCAAGGGAACCAACCACGGATAAGATGAACGCGCAGCTCTGAAGTAGCCTTCTTGAAGATGGTTCGATTAGGTGGATGTGCAAGATATTTTGTACCGTTGACATACGTATCGATATCGGGCAACTGCATACCGTTAAGTATGTCCATGCACTCCGATAGTAAATCATCTTTAGCTTTCGCTGACTGTTTCTCGACCCAATGATCCACCACAACATCATAGCTTGGTTCCCGGCTGTCACGGCTCTTTTTAGAAGCCTGACCCCCTGAGCTACCTCCTATATTCATAACCCTCTTGCCACTTTTTTTAGAGCTTCCACCTATCTCAAAGGTCTGTCCACTGTTAGGAACACCTTCAACTGTCATTCTTCCAAACATGTTCATTGCACTACTTCGAAACACTTCTTCTGTCTCCCTCTCTTCATCCGAATTGGCTGGTACAACTCCACGGGGAAGGTTGTACTCGCCAGAAGCAGTCGAATCATAAAATAATTTTGTCATTTCACCAAAGAACTCCAACCCCCGGCTCCTGAATTTTTTAACTTTTGAGTTTTGCTAACAAATACAAAAAACAATTATCAATATGCAATCATATCAGAATTTACATTAGCTACTGGATTATAAAACCACAAATTAACAAATTACTCAATAGTCTACCTTGATCCAATCATCCCACTGTTCAGGGTCTGCTTGAATGGCACCAGTCATAGGATCAACACTTACACCAGAAAAGTTATGAAGTGCCTTGTAAAGTCGCCAATCTGCCCGAAGTTGTCCATACTTTAACTGCAAAAATGCGGCTGTAAAGAAATGTTTGGTGCGACTTTGGATTTCCTTCGATATCTCCTCAAACTTTGGCTTTGTGAATGTGTTGGAAGTTAGAAACCCCTGATCTTGAGCATCTAGCATTAATTGGATAAAATGCCTAAGGTCAGATAGGTCCATCTCCTTCTCTTTCTTTTGTTTTCGTTTCTGTTGGTCCTCCATTTCCTAACACAAGGAGTAGGGAGGAGTGAAGTAAGAAAAGGAAATAAATAAAAAGAATTGAAGTGACCAGTAATAAAAGTTCACGGCATCTCTATTGGCACTATATATACCTCTTTGTAATTATTGATGCAAAGTTGAAGATCATTTGGTGTTGTTTCAGATTCAATATTGCTAATATGCGTAGATGAAAGGGATTCTTCACTTTTATAGGAGTCTAAAGATGGAGCACTTGAAGTTTTCACAATGCATCTCACTGTAGAATTATGGACAGGCATACGAAGATGATAACAAAGTGGTAAATCTAAAACTAGATTCTACAACATTTTAGGACAGTTTCCACAAAACTAAAATGTATGTATGAAATGTGTAGAATCTTTGGCTTCAAATTGACTCATTTCATCACAATGAAAGACAGTTAGGAAACAAGTGGAGAACTTACTTGTGCAACTGAAATCCAATCATTGCAAGATGGTCACCCTTCAGCTGGTCTTTAATCCTTCAATTAATAAAAAATAACAATGTACATAAGTTGTTTAATTAGCCAGAAAATACCAAGCAACTAGTATAAAACCCATCTCAAAGAACCCACAAACGAACATCCAAAATCTGGCCTACAAATGATCACCAACAATATGAATCGTCCCCATCAAACGAAATTGATTAACCAAACAAATTCATTCCACAATTCAGAAGCAATTCCAACAGATCAAAAACTCCGTCTTCGCCGAATAATGAGACCGAAAACACTATAGTTAATTCATGAACACAATCTGTTTTACTTAATTCCAAAGACTAATACAAACTTATACCCAAAAGCTTTAAATCCATTGACAAAAGATTGAAGTCCCAAATTCGGATATGAATGAGAGCTTCATTTAAACAAATATGAAGTTTTACCTAAAAAAACGAGGGCAAATTTCTCCAGACTGAGCTTCCAAAGGATTGGGATGGTGAAATATTTGGAATTTGGAAGTAGAGAAGAAATAATCTGGAAAAGCCCGGCGGATTGGAAGTGTTGGCCTGGATTGACGGAAAAATTGGTCCCCAATTCCGCTGAATTTTGGAGGCTATTTGGAGGACAATCTTCAAAGGTCTGATGAAGAAGATGTAGAGTTCAAAACTAGAATAGCTCGGTTGAATTTTTGTCGAAGGTGAAGAGGAAGATGTGAATGAATTTATGGAGAGTAATTAGAGAAGGTGGGCAAATTTATGGGGAGTAAAAGGTTCCCAACGCTCACAGGTATACACCGAATATATTCCAATTCAAAGTTTTCAGCTTTTACTATTTACTTTTGCAGATGGCATGTGACCGTTGATAAAGTAGACTTTTTCCTTTTTTTTGTGGACAACTGTCATTAAGAAACGAGCCAAATACGTGGGTAGTGAAAAATATGAAAAAAACGGGCCAAAAAAAGCTTCCAAACATAGCCTAAGTGTTTCCTTGAACATCAGATAGGAGAAACACAAGATGTTTGAATATAACTTGTGCACATATACATAGATAATTTAGCCAATCTCTTCATTGGTCTGGTTAGTTGTAATGATGTGCTTGAGTACAATCTAATTAAACTTGCTTAGACTTTGTTGTGCGGAAGAAGCTGAAATTTTTAACTTGAAAATCGAGGTTATAACCTAGAGTTTTGAATGATTTTAATGATCAGAAATGCGACTAGTTTTGTGTGTCATTTTGTTTTGTAGATTTGACATCTTGATGATAGTTTTTTTTTAAAAAAAAAGAAAAAGATTTCTTAAGAGTTCAAACTTTGAGAATTTATGTATGTTTAAGAGTTCAAACCTTTTCAGCGATGATCCCAAAGTTGCAACATGCCTAGCCAATTCTGCACCACTTTTGAAAATGGTTGAGAACTGTTACAAATCAGCAAAAAGGTCACCCAATTTCATTGTTGCGGACTTCTATAAGAGAAGTGGTGCTTCTGAAGCTGTTGACATAGGGAATAGGTTGCATACAACTGGGAGCATTCATCTTCACTCACATTTGGTTCCTTACTGGTGGTGTGGCATTGGTGTACTTATTGCCATGTTTATGTACTGGTATTGTCAATAAGAAGATGAGAACAGAGGATCTGAAGAGGAAGAGATGGCCAAGAAATATGAAGAGGAAGAGATGAGTAAGACACTGAACGGGGTGAGTAACAGGTGTCGGAGAGGTGGAAGAAGAGGAAGGTTTGGGAGATGAAAAGAAATCAATGAGAGAAATCTGGAAAGATAAAGGTGATAGACTTTTGGGGGGGAAAAGTGAGACATATACTGTTTTGAGTGTAATTTGTGCGCTGAAGTGTTACTAGTAAGGAGTTTGATAAATGTGAGATATATTTTTTCGTTAAAAAAAAGTGTATAATTCTATGAGCCTTATATTCCAGACTGTTGAAGAGAAAATTGTTTGTAACTTCGTTACATGTATTTTTAATGTGTCTGGATTCCATTTTCTTTCATATGAGGACTTGGATTTTATTTTCTTCCGTGTGTGAACCTGACCTTGAAAGTCTTTTTTGTGTGCTAAAGTGTTGATTATTTTGAAGTCACTTCGTAAGCAGGGTGTATTAGATGATTTGAAAGGAAAGATTATTCGATAGAATTATAAGGAACTCTATTGTGATTTACAGTTGAGATTTTGATCTTTAATTATGGTTTAGCAAATGAATAGAAGGATGCATATTTTTCATCTATTTGGCTATTCTCAGTAAAAAGGAACATTTCCTTGTGTTTTGCTATAACAGATGGATTAAGTCGCCGTTATAGCTAGTTTTGATCTGACTCTTTTAGAATTGTCAAAAACACCTTTGAACTACTTAAATACTGAAAGTGAGAATTTTATATTGTAATATTGATATTTTGTCTTTTTCAAAACCTTGTACAATTTTAAGTACGAACTATACTTGATCCTCTTGGGAATGCACAACCCAATAATTGAACTAGTGCATTCTCTGCAAAAGAATGTACCTATTATGTAGGAAAGAATAGTACACAAATAAAAAGGTTCTCTAAAAAATTATAGTAACAATAAGGCTTCAATTTAGACTTAGTTTTCCTTGGGATATCATTAACTAAATCGTTAACCAAACCAATTAATTGGTTCAATCCGAAAGCACTATTATCTGCAATTGTATTGTGGACTAGATTACCTGTATGTGTGAAATGTTATCTTCTATTTAAGTTCTTGCAGTTTAATGGTGAGACCAATAGTAAACTTTTAAAATATGGTACGTTAAACTATGTTGGAAAAAAATTCCTTGTTCAAACTTTTGTTTAAAGGACATTTGATTTTTTTTTTGTTGTGGAAAATGGAAATGACTCTAACCTACTGTCTTAATGAAATTTGAATACGAGATTGTGTTGTCTAAGTTACACCTATGCATGGGTTTGCTTGGTTATAGAATTGATTGCAATTCCATAATTTATTGTCTTGGTCATGCAGGATGTTACTTGTGATAATGCAACATACAAATATTTTTTGTTAGATTGTACTATTCTATTAGTTGTAATGTACAAGTGGATTTATTTTATCTGATAACCTCAAACCTTTAACTCTCTAAACAACAAGGAAAGTGATTCTTCATTGTTGTGTATTACAGATTATGTACTTTTGTGTAGAAGTCACAACTTACAAGTAATACTTTAAAAGAGTCATATTTTGATAATGACGTGGATAATGCCTTAAATGTTGAATCCATTGATTCTGAGTGTGGGTATGACCTTTGTTTTGGTCTTTAAGAGTGATTGATACCCCCTAATTTCGAAAGATATATAAAGTCCTAATACATTAAACTTTGGGATCATTCTTTCAAGAAGGGACTTTGAATTATTCTCTTAAATGGAAACCCTAATTGTTAATCTATATCTTGGCCTTTGGATTTGTAAAGTATTTTAAACTATAAGAAAATGTTAAAACATTTGTATGCTGAAAGTTTGCTTAACTCTTTGTTATGAATAAATTACCCTGTGGCTCGAATATTAAATATTTCTAACTATCATAAAGACTTTGATGGCAAAATTTCAGTGATTTTTAAGGTTATGCATTGGCTGCAAGTTATGTTTACACATATAACCAAAGAGGAGATTAAATCAAGTAAAAGAAGGTACTCATGAAAACACCTATGAACTCCAAATGCCAAGATAGGTGAGTACGCGCTCTCTCACGATGTTTATTGTAATCTCATATCCTCCTCTCAGTGCATGATTGAGGAGTGTTGCTTTTGTTTTTGAACAAATTGCATGTTCATGCTAATACTTGAACTTGTTTTGTATGACAACGTGATGATATTACCTGTCTACATGCCAATTGAACCGAATTGAATTGCTTTTTTTTTTTTTAATCTACTGGGTGATGTATTTTATCATGCCAAGATATATTGATGTCATGATTTGTCTTCTAAGGAATATACGGTGCATGAAATGCCATGATATTGTAAGACTTCGACGTGTATGTTGCCACACCAGTCTTGGGCCCCCGTTACCATAAACTGAATCCAAGGGTTGGCATTGGGCATAGATGTGTGGGTAAACTGTGGATTGTTTAAGTAGGCGTGCACTAGCTGATAGCACTTGATTGCTGTCGCCACTTAGAGTGAAGGATGATGTGTTACTGGACTTGAAATCTAACATTGAACATCATTTAGAATCTAACTAGGAAGACAGTCTACAAGACCATATCGGCATTCGACATGTCCTAGTTAAGATACACCCGTATCCTTGCATGAATATGCCAACAACCTTGGTTATGGTTATTTTTTGTGACAATGCATGACTTATTGTATCTTTTACAAATGCATTTTATCACGAACATCATTTTTTTTTATTAGATTGGATTGATATAACTTTTTAGACAGTGTTAATAATAAACAAACAACATATAAAATGAATTTCGTGAATAGTTGTGCATGTCTTTTGATTATCGCATGGAGTCATGAGAGATTGAGAGTTTGTTGACAAAGGTATTCATTTGGCTATTAGTTCATCCCATCATTTTTCCACCACATGTT